GGAAGGGCTGTTGGAAAGAAGTGGAGGATCCCGGTGCCTGTGCCTCTTTGTGTCTGCCTCGGCCCCTCCCCAGCCTGGGGAGCAGCTGGCAGCTCTCGTCTTCATCCTGGCTGGTCCATGGTGGAGACACTCCTGGCCAAGGCAGCTCCTACACGGGCCCCTTTGCACACCACTTCTCCTATTGTTTCCTCCCTCTACGACCCCCTTCTAGAGGCAAGTAGACTCCCCAACCACCATGATCACCCCTACTAAGAGCATTAAAGCAATCCATGAAGGGACCCTCCTTCCCCTTTTTAAGTCTTTTAAAGAACAGGGACTGAGCACTATGCCTGCTCACCCACCCCAATGGGGCAAATCTCTGGACCTAGTAGTAATCCTCGCTCTCTTCACTTTCAGCGTCCTCTTCAGGAACCAGGTTTAGTGACCGCAGCTGGGGAATACCTGTAGAGTTCAGCTGATCTGCAAACGTGTGGCCAAATGAGACAATAGGAGAGAGGGACTGTTCGTGCCCACACATCCCAGTCTGTGGGAAGGATATGCTTATGTGTGTACCCTCATGCACATGTACAAGAGAACTGTTTCTTAAACACACATCCAAGGGTCCTAATCCACTTCACCCCCCAATCCCCAGAGCTCGGAGCTCCCATTTTACCTGGTGTGAGCACTGTCAGGCTAGCAGGTGCCTCCACCTGACCCAGGGCATTTCGGGCAAGGCAGCGGTAGGTGCCCTCATCACTGGGACGCACAGCCTGGATCTGCAGCCAGCCAGTCACCTCAAACCTCTGGGGTCCACCCCTAAACTGGAGCCAGACAAGGAGTCAGCAGGGTCCTTTGAGAGGGGCCCTGGACTGCCTGAGGGAAGCTTCTGCTCTCTGTCCCTACCTGAACAGAGATGTGGGGGTCATCCCCTGGCAGCTGGATGTCCAAGCCATCCTTCCTCCACTCGATGGAGGCCATGGGGTAAGCAAACACCTCACAGCCAAAGATCACATCCTGCCCTGTCACATTCCAAATGTCATATGGGTGTGACACGATCTGGGGCTCTGGGGATAGAGGCAGAAGGCTTGAGAACAGCATCCCCGCAAGGACATGATATAAAAATTACTGTAGACATGCTTGTGGCAAAACACAATATATGCTGAGGTAAATACACATCCATAAACACAACATGACATGTAAATATACATGCCGGTACACACAAAAGTAGAGACATGGAGATGGACATGCACACTTGTGCACACAGAGTACCTTACAGACACGATGCACAAACACTCAAGCACACAGACCCACACCTCAGTGTGGCAGCCAAACTGTTCCTGACTGCTCCCTTGTCCTCATTCCACCCTCCTGGGGCTCCTTCTCTGCAACACCTCCCCACTTCCCCATTTTCTAACAGGCCCAGTTCCACAAAACCTGAAAAGCAGCCCAATCCCCTGGGACATCCTGCAGTAAAAGCAAAGAACCTAAAGCCAGACCAGGGCATCAGACAGGAAACCCAGAGGAGTGGGGAAAATTGTTGGGGGACCCCCCCACCCTCTCACAGGGTGTTTGTTTTCATTGCAGCCTCAGCCAGACCAGACCAGCCAGGGGCACAGGAAATGAAAGTTACTAAACCTGCCAAAGAAAACTTGAGGCTTGAATGTCCCCCAGCCCTCAGGATTAGGGGGAGGGAGAGTTAGAAGAGCTCCCCCACCTTACCTATTCCCTAAATGCAGGAGAAAAGGAGAGAGGTGAGGTGAAAATTTTGCTTTAAGAACCTGCCCCAGGGCTTGGCGCCTGTGCCTCAAGTGGCTAAGGCGCCAGCCACATACACCTAAGGTGGCGGGTTCGAATCCCCAGCCCGGGCCCGCCAAACAACGATGGCTGCAACCAAAAATGGCCAGGCGTTGTGGCAGGTGCCTGTGGTCCCAGCTACTTGGGAGGCTGAGGCAGGAGACTCGCTTGAGCCCAGGAGTTGGAGGTTGCTATGAGCTATGATGCCATGGCACTCTACCCAGGGGGATAGCTTGAGGCTCCGTCTCAAAAAAAAAAAAAAAAAAAGAACCTGCCCCAGCAGGCTCACTGCCTATAATCCTAGCACTCTGAGAGGCTGAGGAGGGAGGATCCCTTGAGTCCAGGAGTTTGAGACTTCTCCGAGGCTCAGGTCGCTGCCTGTGTCTAACCAACACTCAAGAGCAAGACCTTGTCTCTAGTAAACATAGGAAAATTAGCTGGGCATTGTAGGCACCTGTAGTCTCAGCTACTGGAGAAGCTGAGGCAGGAGGATCGCTTGAACCCAGGAGGTTGAGGTTGTTGTGAGATAGGCTGAGGCCATGGCACTCTAGCCCTAGCAACAGAGTGAGACTCTTGTCTCAAAACAAAACAAAACAAAACAAAACCTCTGCTCAAGCAAAACTTGATTGCATCTCAACAGGAACCCAAGTCTGTCTGTCTGGGCAAAGTGTGGGGTCTCTTCATTCTCTCAATTGTGAGCCAGTCATAGGCTATGTGTCTGTACCCTCAGAGGGTTTGTCCCTGCCAATCAGTTCTGGGGTGTGCCCGCTGCTCAGAGCACACGACTTGCGCACAAAGCTCTGGAACCCCATCTTTGGGTGGCTAGTAAGGAAGAGCATGGTCTTATATTGGACTCAGAGGCCTGCCCAAACTGATTCTTCTTTCTCCCCAATGCTGTTGGAGGTCTGGGAGCAGAGTCTCCAGGAAGCCCAAGTGTTGAGAGTAGGGGACCTGGGCCGTGCGTACCCGATTCGCAGGGCCCCGGGTGCGCCTCAGTGAGGTTGGCGTCGGGCCGAGCCCGGGCCGCCTCCTGCAAGCGGCAAATGTGTGTGTAGGTGCGGCCATCGGACCCGCAGAGCGGGCGCTGCGAGCGGCAGGCACACAGCGGCTCCGGCACCTCTCCGCGGCTCAGGTCGCCACCTGCGTCTAACCGACATTCAAGCTGCTCGCCGCAGCGCCCGTAGAAGTGAGCGCTGGGATCCAGGTCGCAGAGCTGGCCCTCGAGGTTGGCACATTCCCAGCAGCATCCGCACGCGTCGCGCACCCAGCCCGCCAGACAGCCGCGAGGCGCGGCGCATTCTTCTAACCGGCAGGGAGCGCAGCCCTCGCCCTCCGCCAGCAGCCGCAGCCAGCCACGCCGCAGGTAATCGGGGCCTGGGGATGGCCTCGCGCTGGTCGGGGGAGGTGTCTGCACCACCAGCAGTAGCAGTAACAGGGGCAGCACCAAAGCAGCTGCTGGAGACTGCAGCATGGTTAGTTGGAAGCCCTGCGAGCACTCGGGGCATCAGCGTGTTCGTGGCACCCTGCCAGGGACAGAAGCCAGGTTAGGAGGTCAAAAACAATGCCTATGCTGAAAGATCAATCTTACTGCTCCCGTATCAAAGCTCACCCTAGCATTGCCCCCTCTTGCTACCTTGAAGTAGACTCCCACTCCCAACACAGAGGCCTAGCGAGGCCTTTAGAGGTTATCAAGTTATGCCAATTGGCAATTAATTGGCTGAGGAGTGAAGAGAGGTGGATAGGAAGGGGTGATAAATCTCAGGGGCACGCACAAGCGAGTGCGCACCCTGCTTCCTTCCCCTAGGAGCATCACCTACATACACCATCCAACTCTGATGCTAATTGTCCCAGGATAGGAATGGGCCGCTCCAGAAGTAAGAAGTTGTTAACGGGGATGGAAAGTGTGTGTGTGCGTGTGTGTCTGTGTGTGTTGGGCGCGAGGCGGGGGTGGGGGTGGGGAGTGCCCCTTGCGTGTGGCCTGGGGCCCAGAACGCTCACCTGGTGTCCAGGACTGGGCGGTTCGCAGCAGCGGTGATTCCAGGCCGAAAGAGGAGGTAGTGGAAAGAAAACTGAGGGGCACGAATCAGCTGGGCCCACCAGCCACCTCTGCTCCCGCCTGAGGATTTCTGAGGGGCCACGGATTTGGATTCAGAGAGCAGCTCCTCCGCCCCCTCTCCCCGCCCCTCGACGTCGCACACCCGCCTACCCCTCGTTCTGAGGCTGCCAATTTTATGCAGCCGCACGAGACCTTCCCGGGCCATTTCCCCCTAGTCTGGCCCAAAGTCACAATGAGAGTAGAGGAGCGGTAACCGGACACCGAGGCGGGGAGAGAGGGAGGGGTCGAGGGACGGCTGAGTAGCTCAAAGTGTTGGCTGAACAGTTACGCTCTGTCCTATTTGACTTTACAGTCCCTGGGGTCTCCCTCTCCTCTGGAGCAGCTGCATAATAGGGAGCCGGTAGGGGCTCTGGTGCCAAGTCATTTTAAGTCGGTGTCTGGGCACTCCTAGAGGGCAGAACCAACCCGTGTCGCCATCTCTCATTCCAGGATCGGTTTCCCCGGAGCGATTGCAGGCTTGCCCACCCAGTCTCGCTACCGAGGAGAGGACCAGAGTCCTGGCACTTATATTTGCTCCGCCCTCCACATCCGGCAGGTGCTTCAACCCTCGGATGAGTGATTAAAGGTCGAAGCCGACCACAGGCCACAGAAGAGGCGGGAGGGGCGCCTCCCCCGAGGGCGTCGCTCCTGGTCAAGATTACAGGTTATGGTTGCGAAGCTGGCAGGCCCATAAGCATTCCGTCTCTCGGCCGCCACCAGCGCCACCGTGGCACTCAGGGCTGGGGGAGGGGAGGAAAGCCTTCTTGGACTCCCGCCAGCCCAGCCTGGGTCGGCCAGGCCTCGCCTCGGCTTCCCCCTAGCGGCTTACAGAAGCCGCGCAGCAGTCAAGCTGGTAGGGGGCAGTATTTAGTTAAGCTCGGTTCAGGAGGCCGGGCTCGCGCAGCGGCTCCTGCACTGCCCAGCAGGATCCACACTGCGAGCTCCCGGTGCCCCAGAAAGCCAAGCTCAGGAGGCGGCCCGGGACGCTCCCGTCTAGGAGCGCACCGGAGCGCCTCCAAGGCCTTTCACAGAGGGGCTCTGGAGCCACGCAGACGTCATCCTTGATCAGAGAGATTCTGAGGAGTGTAGCCGAAGACCAGCTGCCATCAGAAACGCGAGAGAACTTCACGCGAGCCCCCCAACTCTCGCGAGATTCAGACAGGAACTCTAGGAATTCAGAACAGGAAAAGCCCTCGGGTTTTAAACCGGAAAAAGAATGGGCGGAGCCGGCTATGTTCGGTAGTTATGAGTTTTCCCTTGTCCTCAAGGCTAACCGTAGCGTTGATCTAGTACAGAAATGAACTGTCAGAGAGCTGCAGGAAACCCGGGAAAAGGCCGGAGATGGGGATTTGGCGGAGTTGACAAATGGAGCCACCCAAGGGGAGGTCCCTGGCCCTGACACAACACCAGGTGGGCGGAGATCGTTGCCCGGATACTGAGCGGAAGCTGTCTGGGCTCTTAATGAATTGTTGCTGGCTTCTAAGCCTTGGAGCCGGTTTTTCAACCACAGACTCCAAGGTCCTAGAAACCCTTTACTAACCCCACTTTATAGTAGCCGGTTGCTTACTTTGAGTCTTTGCTATGCTCTAAGCCTCTAGTAGTATTGCTTAACTCAACATTGTTTCTTGTAAACCTAGACCCGCACCTGGTGGCCCAGTAAATTCTCGGTAAATTTTTGAGGATTAAATATGAAAACCTTTTTCTGAGTGTTTAACCTGGATTTTTCTAAGTCTCTGATGGAGGCGACTAGATAGAAAGGGAATGCGCGCCCTCTGGTGGGATTGTGGTTAGTGATGAGAACACAACCGTGCAGCTAGTAGACACCAAAAATGTTGACTATATAGGGGATCTACTTTTATTAATAGAGGCTTTGTTCTAGGAAAACGCCATGTAGTGTAATAATACTTTTAGGAAGGGACTGTTTGAATAAGACACCTTTCCAGACCCATAAAGAATCCAAAATACATCCAGTAACACGCACAGGCATTACAAATAGTAAAGAAATAGCAAACGAGTTTCCATATTCATGATGTCGATCAGTTTGACCAGATTCACAGAAAACTGTTGGACCAAAGGAAAAAGATTGACTGCGTGAATTTACATGGTCACCAGGATATGAGAGCTCCCATTGTGCCACATCCTTGTTATCACTTGGTATTGTTTGTTTTTTTGAATTTTATCCATTAAGTAAAAATTTTAGAGCCTATTTTTTGGGTTTTTTTGAGACAGAGTCTCAGTATATCACCCTCAGTAGAGTGTGGTGGTGTCACAGCTAACAGCAACCTCAAACTCTTAGGCTTAAGCGATTCTCTTGCCTCAGCCTCCCAAATAGCTGGGACTACAGGCGCCCGCCACAACTCCTGGTTATTTTTTGTTGTTTTCGTCGTTGTTTTAGCAGGCCCAGGCGGGTTTGAACTGGTACATGTGGCCAGCACCCTAACCACTGAGCTATGGGCGCTGAACATAGAGGCTAAAATTTTAAGATAGCCAGTTCTTCAAGGATTTCTTGTTGATTTTTCTCTTAAAAACTTTTATATTGAAATAATTTTAGATTTGCATAGAAGTTGCAGAAATATCCAGAAAGTTTCCTCTCTTTCCAGCAGAGTCCCAAATTTCTATCTCTGGCCCAGACCTCCCTCAGAAACATGACTCTAATATATTCAAACTGATTAATCTACTTCTGGTGTTTTTTTTTACTTCTGTTATTTTAATTTTTTATTTTATTTTTTATTTGCTTATTTATTTATTTTTTTGAGACAGAGTCTCACTATGTTGCCCTTGGTAGAGTGCTATGGCATCACAGTTCTCAGCAACCTCAAGCTCTTGGGCTAAAGTGATTCTCTTGCCTCAGCCTCCCAAGTAGCTGTTACTACAGGTGCCGGCCACAGCGCCCAGCTATTTTTGGTTGCAGTTGTCATTGTCGTTTAGCAGGCCTGGGCCAGCCTCATTGTATGTGGCTGGCGCTGTAACCACTGTGCCAGGATGTAGGCAACTTCCGAGCCTACTTCTGGTATTTTCTTCTAAGCAGCCAAGGAGGAAGGACATAAAGTGCTCCAGCCTGCATTATACTTACGGCTTCCAGAAAAAGCATCAATGTATCAGATACCAGAAATATTTTATTGTACAGGAATTTATCACATGGCCAAAGAGTGGCCACCCTGCACCACAAATGTCCCATTAGCAGATGCAGTCAACATTCCAACCATTTACCCTCAGTTCACACTAGGGGTTACCTATGGTTCCTGCATCTCTCTGCCTGAGGGAGTTCTCTGGCTCCTAGGGTGATCTCCACTGGCATGCATAGCAGGCTAGAATTGCTACATTCAATGAGGGACAAAGCTGGAGGAAAAACGCCCCTGTTCCTTTCCCTTCACTGGGATAATTCTGGGGTATATTCTATACAGTTTTGCAGAATGTTGCCAGTGAAATTGAAGTCCCAGTCTTCAGTGGCAACCCATCCCTTAATGCATCCTTTGTTTGGTTTTCTTTCCCTCTCTCACTTCTCTTCCCCTTCACTGTGTTTTCTGGAATAACCACTCCAGTAACCACTTGTACCTAAAGCCTTGCCTCAGAATCTGCTTTCTGAGGAACCAAAACTAAGACAACCCCTGTGAAGGGACCAGGCCATCTTCATGAGACCCTCATCAAGACCACATGGACAGCTGGGTGTGGTGGCTCACACCTGTAATCCTAGCACTCTGGGAGGCCGAGGTGGGTGGATTGCCTGAGCTCATGAGTTCAAGACCCACCTGAGCCAGAGCCAGAGAAAGCTCTCATCTCTTAAAAAAAAAAAATAGCTGGGCATTATGGCAGGTGCCTGTAGTCCCAGCGACTTGGGAGGCTGAGGCAAGAGAATCGCTTAAGCCCAAGAGTTTGAGGTTGCTGTGAGCTGTGTCACAGCTCTACCGAAGCCTGGACAAAGTGAGACTGTCTTAAAAAAAGTCCACACACATGGACTAGGAAGAGATCTTAGACACCTCCCCCCAACCACATGTGACGATATGCTTGCCTACACCTCCCTTTCAACTTTTGCTCTTGAAATATAATAGAGTTTAGTGTTGGCATCTGTGGAGAGTTGTGAAATAGGTTAACATTCAAGAATCCCCTGAGCTGATGGGTTCACTAAAACCAAGGAAGAACCTGCTAAATGTATGCTTAGAACTCTAAACAAGAAACGTTGGGAGCTTTCTCAAGAGGTGATGGGAAGTACAGAGGACTAATTACCCAGAAACTACTTGGAGTTCCCAAACCACGTGGAGAATCTTGGGTCCCAGTAGAACAACAGAATATTAGTAAAATGGTGCACATGTTGGGAAGTTCATAAGATTTACATTTCAATATACTCAGCCTCCCCAAACCCGAGATTCCTTCTTGGCTTTTCTGTAGTTTCCCCCCAGGGTAAGGTACAGGAAGAAAGGTAACAAAAGGTGGCAATCAAGAGAACTGCCCTGCAAACCTGCCTTTATTCCCTGACTTGGGAGATCCAAGTGAGAAATTTGTTGAGTAGAATCACACATAAGTTGATGAGTTTAAGAAGTATGTAGAAGTAGGGGGCTTTAAATTGGAGATTGAGAGCTCCTGGGTCCAGAGACTTGACTTAGTGTCACATGGTCTTCTACAACATTTAAAAAGAATTCGAGGCCTAGGCCAGCCAAAACAACAATGACAACTGCAACCAAAAAATAGCCAGGCGTTGTAGTGGACGCCTGTGTTCCCAGCTACTTGGGAGGCAGAGGCAGGAGACTCACTTGAGCCCAGGTTGCTGTGATGCCAGGGCACTCTACCCAGGGGGATAGCTTGAGGCTCTGTCTCAAAAATAAATAAATAAATAAATAAATAAAAAGAATTTGAGGCCAGGTGTGGTGGCTCACACCTGTAATCTTAACAGTCTAGGAGGCCAAGGCAGGTGGGTTAGGAGTTGGAGACCAGTGTGA